GATAAACGAATCTTTTGGTTATATTCAAATTTTTCAGTATATCAAAAATTTGAATTGGCGCGTAAGCGCAACGATTCAACGCAATAACTGCAACACGGTCTTCTTTAAGCGTCCACTCCATATTTAAAAATGAGTAAAATTCTAAAAAGTAATACAGTTTTATTTTCACGAATAATTCGAAATTCGAATTCAATAAACTTTTTTGTGGCCAGCATTCTAAAAGAAAAGTTTTTACTGTGTGACAATACTTATGACCTGACTAGGTACTTTACAATAGTAGGTAACTTTCATATTTTTTGTCATTGAGGGCTAATAACCTTCCACTCACCAGATATCACTAATTGTGACTGAGATCTCAAAGTTAAATAGTGCAGATATTTTGATAGTATGTAATTTTATAAAGAATATATGAGCATATATATGTGTATCTATGTGTGCTTGTTTATGTTTATGTATATATATGTACATACATATGTGTATTTGTATGTGTGTAGGTTTGAGTATGTAAATATTATTTATTGAAATTATGTATTGAAGCGCTGTACTGCAGCTGGTTTGTGTATTTGCTTGTAACTTAAACTTAATTACGTTTCTGAGTGAATTTCAATGCAACCTCTTACAGTATTAAGAATATTTTATAAGAATTATGACAATATTACAACAAATAAATTTTTGTTATTATATTTGGTTTAACACAACAGAACTGCCCTCTGCTCATAAGGAATATATAATATATGTATATATATATATTTTATACTTATTTGTGTATTTTTATTTTAAATACATAAGGGTGCCACTGAAAATCAGGGTTGGGGTGCTTCTGATACATTCCAACATATCCTGAGTGGCTTTCCTTTTTGGAGCAGAGCAGCATTAACGGGTGGATTATCTTTATAATACACCTTATGCATTACTCCTTATTCTCTAGTTCTTTGTTATTATTATTTTTTTCAATATTATTGTTTGCTTTTTTGTTTTTTTTCTGTTTAATTTTACCATATCTATAAACAAGGAGTTAATGTCCTGTTTCATGATTTCTATGTATAATTTTTTGTTTTTTTTTTGTTTGTTTCTATGACTACTTAAATGTTATGTGTTTTATGTAATCCGCTTGAGTGTGCTGCATTTCCCAATTAACTGACATTGTTACACAATGTCAGTTAATTGGGAAATAGCTTTAAATAATCGTATATCAGTTCCTAGAGTATTATATTAATATAGAAAACAATGCGTCAGTGGTTTGTTTTTAAATTATTTGCACTATATTTTTCTTCTGTTAGTTATAAGTAACCATAGCATGGTTAATTCATTTCTAATCTAAATAATATATAATATAGCTAATAATACAGATAGAAACATTAGCCCTTACATTTTCCTGAGAAATTATCTTCCCCGCTATGAAATCAAAATCAAGTCAAATATTTCACCTCATTGCAAAGTAGCGCAACCCTGGTGGCAGAAAAAGTCATGGATCTTTGCCATGATTTATTAAAGCGTAATTTAGTGGCGCCATTATTCATTTTGTATTTGTTTTTTCATTTTAATTATTACGTGCACACACAATCACGGTCATAACTTACACTAAGCTAACGTGCGGTAGATACCGGCTAGCAATTGGCCGGTATTCATTTCCACCCTTTAATATTTTATCTATTCATTATGTAAACAATCTAAGATTTATAATGTTTAACTAATATGAGAAAAAGAGTACATGGGTGAATATTTGAAGATAGACATATTCAGGGTTCGTTAATTAAGTTCAAATAATGCTTCCAATTATCTTTTTTATGGATTTAACGTAAAGTTTATAGTGCAGATTAACGAAATAAATCAAACGCACAGTATTTGAACTGCTATATAGGCCTGAATCTGAAGCTGAAATTTTTTACCAAACGGTGATGAGATATGAAACAAACGGTAATTAGTATTTTAAAAATGGTAATTATGCTATGTGATTGGTAATTATAAATAAAATGAATGATGTACTTAAATCGCATATTTATTTATTACATAACTTAATTTAAAAAACATTGTCAAAAATCCACCGGTTTTCCTAATAATTTAATTAGGTCAGTAAAAATTAATTTGTCTAGTAATTTTTAAATTACTTTTTTTATTTATAAAACCAACTAAAACATTCGTTTAAAACTCAGTGTAAATAGAACTCGAAGTTATACAAGTTCCATCTAAGATATTTCTTAAATTCGATGAAATCTTATACAAAAACTTAAAAACAGATTTATACTTAAATCCGAATTAGTTTCTATTTCTTAACCAGAAACCAAGCATGTACTTAATCATAAAGTCTTAAGTAGATATGCAAGATAATCACGGCAATGATAACAGGAAAATACAAAACATTTGATGTGTCTATCAAACTTTGTTAAACATCAACCTATACTTGATTTTAAAAATTAAGGAAAATAAAAACAAAATAAACAGTAATCATCTTTCTAGTAATCTTAATAAAAATCAACTAAAACACTACTTCGAAACTCTTCGTAAATAGAACTCAGCACTATACCGGTTTCATCTAAAATATTTCTTAAATGCGATGAGATCAGTTACAATAACTATAAAATATTCCGTATCAATTTCACGACCAAGAAATTCTTAGGTAGTCTCAAATGCAGTCTCTTGTGGATCTGCTAGATCATCACACAGCAATGATCCGAGAACATTAAGCTGGCCATCAATTATTTCATTTGCACTTAATTGTAATGTAGATTGAACATTGTCTTGAAATACATCCAAAAAATTCATATCACTGCCACTGCCAGAAATATTTACCACATTCTCAATTTGTATATTAGGGGCCAAGTGTAATTCATCATCAGGTTTTAAATCCGACAGCATTTTAAGGGTGGTTTCGTCTCCTTTGCGTTTTGACTCTAGTAAAACATTACTTAAGATTTTAATATTCCTTTTATTCTGTATAGTTTTAGGTTTTACGTTTGTAGCCGCATCAGTCATACTGTGATTTTCATTCTCTTTATTCCTGATAAGTGAAGATTCTTTTGTCTTCATAACATAATTTTCCGACAAATTTAGTATGTTCACAGTTCACGTCTTAGCATATAAGTAACTGTTTTCTCTGAACATCAGGTGATCCTTTTCTTCCTGCCACAGTATTTGATAAACATTCAATGTACCTTTCAATGGTTTCAGCTATTCTGAAGATATCAATACATCTTTTTCTATTGTATGGTATTCTTTCACAGTTGCCAGCTTAATTTTTTGTGTATTTTGTCTTACGATTTTCAAAAATCCATCTAATTTAGCAACATCTCCACCTTACGCTGCAGCGGTAGTGCATTTAACAACTCCTCCTATTTCAACTGTGTAATTTTTCCAACTAACAAAAGTTTTTTTTGTATCGTTGTCGTTCTTTTTATCTTCAATGACGTATAAAATCAGCTTTGATTTTAGTATATCGATTCTGGCGTGTGATTTTGGATTTAACCAATGTTTCCTCCTTCGACTTACTCTAAAAAAATAAGATAGTAATAGGGGAGGGGGGAGGGGGGTAGTCAGTCTGTAGGTTTATTTTGTTGTGGAAGTGATGTCAGATCACATCAAACGAGCAATAATTGATCACGCTTTGGTAGTAACACAATTCAACCTTGGGCTGGCCTAGCGGAGTAAGGAGTTTCAATATAATAAGAGGCCAGCTTATACTGGTACTTATTACCATTTTCGATTTCTCATTACCGTTCCGCCAAAATACGAACGGGGAAAATGGTAACTGTACAAACGGTAATTAGATATTTGTACACTTTCTCACATTATACGTTCTTTATAGAACCTATTATCTCTGGAACTTAATCAAATCAAAGAGGATCCTATGGCGACTATTACTGTGCATAAAAATGATAAATAAGAATAATAGACTTACCACGAGAAACTCGAACGGTAAGGAGATTTTTGTTTGCCAAACACGATTTCTGGGCGATTAAGGTTGGCGCTAAAAGACTCTTAGTCATATGACCCGCACGAGTCGTGGGGCAAAACTGAGCGCGACCGCTGAGTTACCCTTTCAGTGACCAATACATACGCGGAAAAAAAATAACCCTGCGACTGTGTGGACAAATGGTAGTGAGTATAAAGTGTTGGGACAATTTTCAAAGTCGTTACAAATTACTTAAGTGTTCTTTAATATGTGTAGTTTTGCTAATTAGTAAAGCATGTAGTGTACTATCTAAATTACAACAAAAATATACGATCATCGGGGTTTATTTACAACTTTTCGAGCATGAATTGCTAAAATTTGGAAATTGGGACACGAATGGTGATGAGATTTGAGTAACGTTTATGAATATATCTTAGTTGTTTATTACAACAGGAAAATGTTATGTACATCTTTATATACTACTGAAACCATGTTTTACGTGAAATAAAAAAGAATAAAACTTTATATCACACTAAGTAGTTATTTGGGGAGGGCCGCGTAATATGCACATGTTCAAAGAATCACCCACATAATAATAATAATTTCATCAGTGAGTTTTAGGCCCGCTCTATACATACGGAATTCCGTTTCGAGATTCCGTTTCTGAATTTCGAACGGTCGGCCACACACAAACGGAATCCCGTTTTGCCCGCAAAATATCGAACGGAAAACTACCGTACGTGTGTGGCGGGTCATAGATTTTATATGGACTTGCTGCGTTCGGGATTCCGAATCGGAATATCGAAACGGAATCTCGAAACGGAATTCCGTATGTATAGATGTACTGTACGTATGTATGTGGCCGGCCTTAGACTTCATGAATCTTATTGGGTTAACGCCCTATAATACCTTTACCATAAAGCCAATATCACAAGAAATTAAAAAAAAATTAAATGTCAAATTTGACAAATGTTACGGCATGGAAGTGGGAGGTGTACATTTTAATGATTTTATTATTATGTGATTTCATAAGTCAATTCACGTAATAATTTCGATTAGATCATAAATTGTTGCTAAAAAGGAGTGACTGATCGTGTTATTTTTTTATAAAATGGGTGACACAAGGAAAAAGAAGAAGTTTTACTTCCGAAAACGTAGAAACAAATATTTTCTTGAATCCGGCTTCAAAGGTTTTTTCTGCACATGTAATTTCCGAGAAAAAGACTGCGTTAAAGAAATGTACAACTTGCTGAATGAATATGCTGAGAAACTGTACCCAGATTCGGGAGGTGATCAGCCTCAACTGACAGCCACAGCAGAGGAGAATTCCGCGAGCGAATCTGAAGAAGAGACTGATATTGGTGACTTGCTTAAACGTGAAGTGGAATCAATGAAAAGAAATTCTCAAAAGTCACTGAAACACAAAAGGTTTCAAGTAGTTGAGACAGGGGCTTCTAACTGTATTTTCATTAAAACCAATTTACCTAGTCCAGAAGAAATTACAACAGCTATTATAAGGGATTTGTCTGCAACAAAGATGCAGAAAACAAGACATGTGCTTCGTTTATTACCAATAATGGCAACTTGCAAGGCTAACTTACCTGATATTATGGAATGTGCTGGAAAACTTTTTGATAAATATTTCCTTAAAGAAGCATCAACATTTGCTGTTATCTTTAACAAACGGTTCAATAGTAGTGTGTCTCGGGATTTAATAATCAAAGAGCTTGCAGAATTAATAGTCCTTAAAAATAGCAACAACAAAGCTGATCTAAAGAATCCAAGTCTTTGTATTATAGTGGAAATTATCAAAGGCATTTGCCTTTTAAGTGTTGTAGACAATTACTTTTTGTATAAGAAATATAATTTACATGAGTTATGTAAGGAGGAATCAAGCAATGACTCTGAAGGGACTCAAGCTAAGAAATTTAAGAGTGAAGATGAAAATGATAAATAATAGTTTCAATTAACTTTTTTATATCTGTATACTCTTGCTAGTAGATTGTATGAATTATATTGTACACTCGTCTCCCCAAAACACATTCTTGTACTAAAATTTATCTCAACTTATAAATGTGGTCCACTTTAAAATATACATATTTATTATGATCATAATATTTTTATAGTTTTATTCATCTTAAGTATTCATGTTATAAAATAAAATAGTAATAATAAGGTATGTAATATTTATGATATTGTGCTGCTGGATCGAGCACAGTCAAGAATATTTTTGGTCGACATCACCTTTCCTTATGAAGAGAAACTCCTGAAAGCCGAAACAAATAAGCAAACAAAATATCTGGACCTGGCTCACGAGGTGGCTGATTTGTGGGGTGGTCTGCCGACTGAAATTATACTTGGGGTTGTTTCTGCGAACAGGCTAATTCCGGTCAGCTTCTCAAGTCATCTAATCTTAGACGATTGGGACTTTGTGACGAAACACCATCAACTTCCTGACTAGGAAAACATAACAACTAATATTTTGCTTGGGACCTGGGTTTCAAGCTCGGGACCACTGAATGAGGCAGTTAACTCATGTTACTTACTCTAGTACTACTTATATTTGAAACAAATACAATTCTGAATTTAATTCAAAAGTTGATTTAATTAGCTTTAACTAGATTTAACCAATCTCGAAATTATGGTGCACCATGTACCTAGATGAGACTGAAATTTGGTAAAAAAATGACATACATTTTGTTGCATAAATCTTTATATATAAAAATTACGTGTCACATTGTTTGTCCGCGATGAACTCCTAATCTATTGAACTGATTTCAATGAAATTTTTCTCATTGTGTTCAGTTTGGTCCAACTTGAGAGATAGGATACTTTTATCCCGATAAATGACCGTCAATATTTTTTTATTGTGAATTTAAAGATTTTTTCTTAGGAAGAGTTGGCGGAAAAGGCAGAACAACGTCTGCCTGGTCAGCTAGTATACCTATAAAGTGTAAATTATGTGACCTTTTGTATGTTATTGGTCTTGCATAACATTGTATGTATTTTATAAAAACATCCTTTTATGTAAACATTTTATTAGTAACCAGATGGCACCATTTAATAGTTAAAACAATCTTTATTTATTTATTTGTTAATTTGGCAATAAATATATTTCCAACTAGCTGTTCCCCGCGACTTCACTCGCGTGTTAGGGTTTTTATGTTTTTGCACGGAACCCTGATTCTTTTTCTAAAATTAAAGTAGCCTAAGTTACTCCTTGTGACATCAGCTATCTGCCAGTGAAAGTCCCGTTAAAATCGGTCCAGCCGTTTCGGAGATTAGCCGGAACAAACAGACAGACAGACAAAAATTTTAAAAATTGTGTTTTTGTTATAAGTATCGTATATACTTTTTGACATTACAAGCAGACACTTCAATTTTATTTATTTGTATAGATTTTGTCAATTGAAGTCCCATATGCTTAAAAGAGGATTCAGTAGAATCTTGATAACTTAAACCTCGACAACGTAATAACCTCTATAATTTCATAAAATTTTGTGTTTCCTTCCACTCTAAGAGTCCAAAACCTCTTTTACTTAAAATACAAACCCTCTATAACTTAAACGAATAATTTGGGTATCGCACCTCAGTAACTTAAAGTTATAAGGAGGATGACCTTTGTAACATCGATCATCTATGAATGAGTCATTTTAAATGAATGTGCAAACAATAAAGGTTCCCTGTAGACCATTGTTATTGCTTACATGTTTACCAAATGGCTTCAAATGTAAACAATAGACTAAGGTTATTTTTATTTGTGGTGTTGAGAACGATAATATAGACGAAGATTTAAATGACAAGCTACAAGATCCACCTATGATTATATCTATCAGGGAAGCAAGGAAAGCTGTAAACACTACGATCTTTTATAGAGCAATGCAGCAACACAGAGGATGATATTTTCTCTTCTTTACTTACTTAACATTGAAAATGAAAATAAAATTGGTAGGTACCTATAGAAAGTGTGATTAGTTTAAAACAAAAAAATTACTGACTTTTTATGAAGGATAAAATAAACTTGTACAAATGTATCTTTAACCTACATATGTATCAACATTTAAAAGTTTCATTTGCATTTAACCTAGCTCGTCTATCTATGTATATAATTCCTAAACAAAGCTCATAAACGAACCTCTGTAAGTACAAACATAAACCAATAAAAACCTCCTTAATTTAAACCCTTAGTAAGTAAAAACCTCAATAACACAAATTATTTAAGTTTACGTTTTCCTTGGTCTACAGTAGTGAGTACCTACCTAGTGTGTTATGTAACATTATCATTGTATAGGTTTGTCATAGAATTATTACGCATAGAAACGCAGTCCAGTACAAAACACGAGCGTTAAAATGATGCAAAGTCATTATGTTAGTGGGCGCGAGTCGAATGTGCCTACGCTCGTCACACGCACACATACACGCCATTCAGTGATACCAGTTTCTGGCGTTTGCAATCAAATTGTGCAAATCACTATTTTTTGGTTAATTTTAAAAAATCGATATAATAAAGATTACGTATTATGTACGAAGATTATTTAGTAGAAGTATTTTATGAGAATATAAAATGGAATAAAATAAACACAATAATGATGTTACTAATATAACTTTATTATACATATATTAAAAAATGCATACGTAATAAAATTTAAGAATATTATTAAACACAATTAATTTGCTCGAATACAATAAGCACATCGTGTAATGTTTAATTTTAACCGACTTCAAAAAGGGAGGAGGTTATCAATTCGGTGTATTTTTTAATGTTTTTTAATTCTACAATTTCTAAACCAATTTAGATTTTTTTGAAAGGATATACACACAGATTGATCCAATACACACGCTGAAATTTTAATGGTTGTTTTCCCGAAGTAAAATGATTTTGCCTTAGTAGTACAATAGAATAGATGTAAAAGTGGCAGATTTACAATCGAGAAAAACAATACTCGAATGCGATCTCAAACCAGTAAGCAATATCTCGCAAGTAGGTCGGGCGTACAGGCTAGCTTATACCGAATTACTATAATAAAGTCTGAAAAAAATTCGCTGGACGTAATGTAGTGTTACATCTATCGCCCGTGCTACCGCGCGCTTCCTACAAAGTGAAGGACCACTAATAAATGTTCATAACATGAATTCTCAAGCGTAGTGATACGACATAAACTAGTTTGGACGCCCGAATAGCTTGTGAGGTATTACTATAGTAAATCTGCCCTTTTTTAATTGTAATATTTTTTAATTTAATAAATTGACTCTACTATCGAGACAGTATAATTTGGCTGCGGGACAACAACCACTAAAATTTCAGCATGTATTGCTTGTATTATACGAATTGATCAAGCTTAGAAATCAGTGTACATACATATTGATAACCTTTCTTTTTGGGAGTCGGTTAAAATAGGCTATGTTTGGGTCTAACGTAACATCTGGTTAATGTTTGGGTGTAAAGTGACATCTGGTTAGTAAAGGCGTTCTTATTAATAATCTCATGATGTTGTAAATAAAAAAGTTTTTATTGTATACCCTAAAACGTAACCTTAGTCATTAAAAAATCAAATTAAAATAAAATAGTCGCGTTAAAATGGCGTCGACGAATCGCGATTAACTGATCATTCCGTATTAATTTTAAATAGACACCCATTGTTAATATAATGTTAACACTTAGAGAAGTAGGTATCTATATATAAACATTTGAGTTTTACACAGAGCGTTGCGATTAAACGTTTTAAACACAAATAGAAAATAAATATTTTTAAAAGAAAATTGTGATTTTTTTCCCCACACCTAGCAACATTTGTATTATGAGAGCTTAGGTAAGTATTTTTTTAGTTTTACGTACTTATAATGAATTAAATGTATAAACTTATATGTGAAATGTAATACCATTACTTCTTTTATGTTTATCATCACCGTTGTGACAATATTTTACAACACAAACGGTAATTTTTACAATTTTTCGCGAGCTCTTCTCCGTAAGACGTGACGTTGTGCACTGACGCGTCGCTGAGTCAACTAACGCGGTTTCGAGTTAGTTTTACTTGCTTCACTTTCGGTGCGCGTAATAGTATTCTATGCGTTATAATTCTATGAGGTTTGTATTATGTAATAGCTCAAGGCGCCTGCTGATAAAATTATGTCAATAACCTCATGGCTGTGTTGCAGGCTATGAGCTACAATACACTTTACTTTGGAGTTTACATAAAAATGAAATAGATGGCGCTTTTCTTGTTATATAAAAAGTAAAATTAACATCAATAAAGTATTATCACAATATAGAATGTATATAATTAGACGAAGATATGATAAATATTAATAATACATTAAAATAGTGGTGCCATATAAAATCTCTTAAGTACCATAATATTATTATTTTAATAAAGATTTCTTATGTTTATGCAAACTACACTTATTGAAACCGGTTTTTATGGATTTTATCGCATTTATTACCATGGGTGGTGTAAAGTACCTACTCGAAATGTAGATAATATTAAAATAAGTAAAACGCGATAAAAAACGTAAAAACTAGTTTCATTTACCCAAATAATTAGGTGTTTTTATTTTACTCTTTATGTTATATTTTATATATAATATATATATTTACTTTATGTAATGGTTTTGCGTTTTTTTTAATAACTTTTTTATAGAGAAAAGTTAATTCTATTATTCTAATACTAATTTCAAAAGATAGTAGGTACGTGGATATGCTGACTATTATTCCCCTGAGCACTATGATGGAATGCCTCGTTGCTATAAAAAAGTTCTCCGTTTCTCGACACTAACATATAAAACAGCTCCATTATGCAGTTTTGCGCTAGTGTTCAGAACATAGTCCTTCCAAGATCGATCCATACGTTCTGCAGCCACATAATACAGTCGCGGCGTGTCTTTACTACAAATAAAATTTCTAAAAGGCAAAGCAAGCTAAGCATACCTAAAAAAGAACCAGAAAAGGAGCCTTAC